GCAAGACAGCCTCCACCGTAGCCAGAGATGTCACTGCAGCACTTGCCGCCGTCTTGGCGTCATCTCGACTGCAGTCTCCGCTCCTCCGTACTGCTAGCCCTTCCTGCCCTACACGCAAGCCATTTGCCAGAGCCGTGGCCCACAGCGTGTGGCCGAGACCGGCACTGATTTGCATGATTTGCACTTGATAGACTACTGAGTGAGGTCCAGGCTGCTGAACGCGCGCAGCAGCTAGACGTCTCTATACAAGCTGGCACCGGCGGCATCAGGGCTGGTCGCCGTACTTCTTGCCGCCTTCGACTTGCCTTGCCAGCAATGCTACTGCTGTCAAGATAGGGTGGAGGAGTTTGTATACTATGTATATATGCATACTCTCTATACATATATGTATATTTCCATCACGTTTCACACGTATATATATATATATATATACATACATACATACATAGATATATATATATATATACACACCTATATAAACATATACATGTATATATACACATCTATATATATATATATATATACATATGTATGCAACTTCAGTACATATGTATATGTCTATGTCTATGTATATGTATATGTATATGTATGTGTATGTGTATGTGTATATGTATGTGTATATGTATATGTATATGTATGTGTATATGTATGTGTATTTGTATGTGCATATGTATGTGTATATGTAAATGTACATGTAAATGTATATGTATGTGTATGGGTATGTGTATGTGAATATGTATATGTAGATGCATGTGTATATGTGTATGTATTTGGGTTTGCTCGACAATGGGGGGAGGGGGTGGGCAGGCGACAGGTGTTGTGATCAGGGTATGTTTAGGGTCGAAGGTGCTTAAGGGTTTACGGGCGGAACTAAGCCAAAAAATGGTCCTCCCGAATTTAAATAGCTTCAGGTCCAGAAAGGGGGTTTAGGGTTTAGGGGTTAGGGTTTAGGGCAGAAAGGTGTCCGCTTTCGAAGTGGCATAGTTCTTCACACTGGCCGAAGCCTTGACCCCCAACCCCTTACCCGGCTGTAATCGGCATTTTCTGCGATGCAAAGGAGAGGGGCCCTTTGACCTGTCGTCTTGATGCTAGGGCTGAACATGCGCTCGCTGCGTCTCATACTCCTGCAGCACTTGCACCACTTTAGCATGGAGGATTCCTTTCATTAGGGCTGTGTCGCCACCCTGGTCGACCAAGCCCGTGTCGGCGCCGGCCTCCACCAGCAATCGCACGACTCCATCATAGCCCCTCACAGCGGCATACATCAGGGCCGTGCGGCCCTTCTTGTCGGCCACATCCTTGTTGGCACCGGCCTCCACCAGCGACCGCGCAACCTCCACGATGCCGTCGCGAGCTGCGAGGATCAGGGCTGTGCGGCCTGCCTTGTCGGCCAAGTCCTTGCCGGCACCGGCTTCCAACAAGAAGCGTGCCACTTCAACCTTGAACTCCACAATTGCGATGGTCAAAGCAGTATTGCCGGTTTTGTCGGCCACATTCATGTCGGCGCCGGCCTGCACCAGCAATCGCGCGACGTCAACATGGCCTCTCCCTGCCGCGAGCATTAGGGCTGTATGGCCACTGTTGCTGACCACGTCCTTGTCCGCGCCGGCCTCCACGAGCAATCGCATGACGGCAACGTGGCCTGGAATTGCTGCGAAGATCAGGGCTGTGCGTCGACCCTTCGTGGTCACGTCCTTGTCGGCACCGGCCTCCATCAGCAATCGCACAACTTCCACATGACCTCCGCGAGCTGCGAGCATCATGGCTGTAATGAGAGTGTCTGCAGGCATTGAAATCCCATCTGGACACAATAAACGCGCAGCCGTGGCAGCAGGAAGATTGTGGGCCGAGTCCTTGTTGGCGCCGGCCTCCAACAGCAAGCGTGCGACTTCAGCATGGCCCGCTCGACATGCCTTGGGGCCCAAACGAGACCTGAAAAATTGGGCCATCATTATACCCTATAATTATATCAAATGCCCTATGCGACTAGAACCTCTTTTAGAAGGTACAGTGTGTGAACCATGACCATAACCACTTTTCCGGTTCATCTGGTCCCGAAGGTGCCTCCATAAGCGGCGCCAGACCAGTCCTTGGGGACCAGATGAACCCTAAATTTGGGGCCATATACCCTATACTACTATAACTCCTATTAAGGTAATTGAACCCTAAACCCCTTTAGGATTCGTTTGGTCCCCAAGGAGTCCTTGGGGCAAGGTCGGGGTCCGCGGGTAGCTGCAGAAGGGATTCGACCTGCAGGGTTTCGGAAGGTTCGGACGAGTAGGGTTCGCTTTGGGGCCTTAAAAGCAAATTTATAAAGGGGCCATAAGGGAATACTACTAGTAATTTATTCCGACCCCTACATGACATGATTGCCCCGGTCACGCTGGAAAACCCTAAACCCTAAAAACCTAAAACCCTAAAACCTTAAAACCCTAAACCCTGAAACCCTAAGCCCTAAATCCCAAAAACCCTAAGCCCTTAAACGTGCGCCTTGTCTACTGAGCCAGCCCTGGCAGCGGCTGAGAGCTCGTCCACTGTCTGGCAATCAGCGGAGAAAGATTGCAGAACCTGCACCATCGTTGGGGTGCTATTTAAAAAATGATCATTGTTTGTTCCTTGTTGGGCTTAAGTATTCGCAAAAAACATAAACATGATCTTTTTGTTCCTTATTGGGTTTAAATATTCAAAAAAATGAAACATACTTTCAACAATGACCCAGGAGCGAGGTCCAGTTCCAGGGGAGAGTCAAGCTTGTCATCGTCATCCAGGCTGGCGCCCCGGAAGATGAGCCTCTGCCTTTTGGGACCAAAATTGGGGTCATATACCCTATACTACAAGAATTCCTATTAATTCAGGTATATGAACCATATACCCTATACTAATATAGCTCCTATTCAGGTATGTGAACCAAAAGGGTTCCTTCGGTCCCCGAGGTGCCTGAAGCGCGGGGGCAGGCCGTGCAGTTCATGCAACCGCTGCTTCACCTCCCTCACGCTCCTCGCCTTACTGCTGGTTTAGGGTTTGGGTTTAGGGTTTAGGGTTTTGGGTTTTGGGTTTAGGGAATGAGGTACCCTTTATCCCCGTATATATACCCTTTATGGGATTATGTAGGGTATATCATTCCCTCATTCCCTACTAACCAACAGTAAGTCACCTCCTCCAGCGGCATGCTTGTCAGCTCCTCCCCGGAGAGCATGCGCACGTGCAGCATGCTGGCTCCAAACCCTAAACCCTAAACCCTAAACCCGAAACCCTAAACCCGAAACCCTAAACCCTAAACCCCAAACTCTAAGTCTGGCACGGCAGAGCAAGCCGACATGGCTGCATAAGTCAAAAGCCTCTCTTTCAGTCCCAGCTACACCTCCCTTCCAGGACTTATATCTCAAAAGAACACTTCCCCTGACGGGGATGAGGAGTATCTTGAGCCTAACTTTAGGGTTCCTGGAGGCTCGCAGGAGCGAGGGAGAGGTCCAAGGTCTGCGACGCCATCCCTTGCACGAGCCTGGTTCTTGAGTCCAGACTCCAGGCTTCTTCATAATACCAAACCCTAAACATAAAACCTTGCATCCTAAACCCCAAGCCCTAATCGGGTATGTTTCGGGGTATGTTTCGGGTGTATGTTTCGGGTATGTTTCGCGGCATCATGAGCTACTTTCCCTGTAATTTCAGGTGCATGTTACGGGGTATGTTTGGGGGTCCACCCCCCCCCCCCCCCCCCCCCCCCCCAACACCCCCCCCCCCCCCCCCCAACCCCGCCGGAGGCTCTTACATGTTTTCGCGGGTGCACCCGGATGCCCTTCTTAAACCTGGGCCCCCACAAAGCGAACATGCCCTTTTTATGTATATTTGTATTCGTATATATGCACATTTCGTACAGTAGACATCTTCTGCGAAAAATGAGGTTCCTAGGCATCCCCTTTCAAGGTCGACGGTGCACAGCTGCAGCCACTCAGCGACAGGGGCCTGGTTTGAAGGGTTTAGTTTCAGGGTTCAGAGTTCAGGGTTCCTGCTTCAGGGTCTCAGGGTCAACAGCTGCCCAGGTCCCTAAACCCTCACCCAGGGTTTAGGGTTTAGGGTTTTGGGTTTAGGGTTTAGGGTATCCACCTGCAAGCTTCTGCAAAATCTTGAGGTTGTCCATGATCTGGCTCAGCCGACTATCCTGGGCGCACCCGAATCGTTCACCCTGCAGAGAAGAGAGATGTACCTTACGCATTGGGGGCATCAATCCTTCCCCTTGCTTCTAAAGGAGTCTGGGGGCATCAACCCTTCCCCTTGCTTCTAAATGAGTCTGCACTGACCTGCGCTGCCCACATGTTTTGTTGATTGAATGGAGGGCCGTCGGCCAGTGATCCGCGCGTTTGAGGCCTAGGTCCAGGGGGGGTAGGATTTCAGACGTGTTCGGCTAGGTTTCCTTAACCCTAAACCCTAAACCCTAAACCCACTTCTGGGGCCGAAAAGAGCCGAAGTCCGCGATGTCATGGGCACCTGCGCAGCCGGGGTTGAAATAACATACAGGGTTGTTTAGGCTTGCAACCCTGGGGACCAAATGAACCCTAAAATTTTGGGTCATGTACCCTATACTACTATAATTCCGATTGAGGTATATGAGCCCTGAACGCTTTTAGGGTTCAGATGGTCCCCAAGGAAGGGTTTAGGGTTTAGGGTTGATGCGCTTTTCGGCACATCAGAGCCTTGCAGTCTGCGCAGGGTGCCGACGAATTCTGTCAGCAGCAGCCTTGTGCCGCAGCAGGCAACCAGCAGCATCTCTCCGATGCAGTCAAAATGTAAAACTTGGAAGCGACACACTTCAGGTGTCATTCGAATGAGAGCTTTCCTCAAATTCGGGGTCCCCCTAACATACCATACAAGACTCTCATCCTCAACCCGTGAAACCATAGGGTCCCTAAGTTTGGAAAAGCCACAAAGGAATGTGCAGGGTAGTAAATTGCAAGAACTTGCGTCTCACCAGACCCAGCCTTACCAACGACAGCCCGCCGCAACTAGCTAAGCAGCTTCCGAAAGAGCTCTTTGTTTGCCCGGACGCTGTACTCCGCCTGGGCTGCAAGGAGGTGCGACTGCTGAGCTGTGAGCCCAAGCAGGTCGCCCTCATTTTGACCTGGGGGGTTTCCGAAAAAAAGAGGGGGGGGGGGGGGGGTACCCTCAATACACCCCAAAAAAGCATAATCCTTACTACAGGAAGCCCCCAAAAGGGTTCCCCTACTTTGGAAAAAATGCCCACCTGTCACTGGGTAGACGGGATAATTGGCAAAGGCTCCTTCCGCACCTCTGGCAATCTCCTGCCGGGTTTCCTCCGGCAACATCTCCTCGAACTCTCTGCATTGCTCCAAGTAGATGAGCACCTAGGCTGCCCCCACACAGGAGGCCGGCATGAAGGCCGTCTTAATAATTTTAGTAGTAATTAGTATTATTTTTACTAATGATGAAAATAAGAATAATAATATAGGGAAATTAAACAACAGAAGCAACTTCTTCAATCATGCCAAGGCACAAACTCCAGGTCGTAGCCTCCGTCGATGCCCCACCAGGCGTTCGGGAGCACTTTGAGCTTCTTGCGCACGACCACCGGCTTTCCTCTTACTGTTGGGTTAGCAGGCAATGGGGGGAAAATAGGTACCCCTTAGCCTATATACTCCCTTAAAGGGTATATAGAGGGCCCTATAGATTCCCTTAAAGGGTATATGCAGGGCCTTTACAACCCCTTTCAAGGGTATGTATAGGGAAATGTTTCCCTCATTCCCTGCTAACCAACGGTAAGTCCTTGGCTCTTCAGGGAAACGAGTTCCTGCGAGAGTGGCAGGCACTGGTCCCTCTCGAAGACCTGAGGGTTTAGGGTTTAGGGTTTAGGGTTTAGGGTTTAGGGTTTAGGGTTTAGGGTTTAGGGTTTAGGGTTTAGGGTTTAGGGTTTAGGGTTTAGGGTTTAGGGTTTAGGGTTTAGGGTTTAGGGTTTAGGGTTTCGGAGGAAGAGTTTGCGCGCGCAGTTGAGGGTGTTGGGCTTGCTTAGGGTTTAGGGTTTCGGGTTCTAGGGTTTAGGGCTCAGGAGTCGGGGTTGCAGAGCCAAATCTCCCAGGAGGTTTTAGCGTTTTAGGGTTCAGGGTTTAAGGCTTAGGGTTTACAGCTAGACGCCCGACTGAAGCCGACACCCCGATGACAGAACAAGAAGCCCAGCCCCCCCAATAGCCCTATTCCCCCCTAAATCCTAAACCCTAAACCCTAAACCCTAAACCCTAAACCCTAAACCCTAAACCCTAGACCCTAAACCCTAAACCCTGCCTGGTTGTTGCTGTAGAAAAAGCCCACGGCGCCTGACAACTTCGCCAGGGGAAGGAGGCGATTGGGTCAGAGGCAGCTTTTCTTCCAGGAGTTTAGGGTTTTAGGTTCTAGGGTTTTAGGGTTCAGGGCTTTGGGGTTTAGGACGTTGGGGTGTAGGACTTTGGGGTTTAGGGTTTAGGGCTTTAGGGTTTTAGGGAGTTAGGGTTTTAGGATTTTAGGGTTTAGGGTTTTGAGGCCCCCTGTTGGGTTCGGAGCTCTAAGGGCTTTTCGGAGCTTTGCAAGGGGCTGTACTACTTTGGGAACCCTTACGAGGCCCAATACCCTAAGCCCCGAGGTAGAGAACGGTCCCTCAACCTAAACCCTTAACCTCCTAAACCTTAAACCCTAATCCCTACATTCCCCAAACTCGAGCCGCAAACCCCACCAAAGCAGAGGAGAAGTGGCCACTCGGGACTCCGGGTTCGGGAGACATCCAGATGCGCAGGATACCAGGAGAGGAGGACTGAGGGTTCCTAAACCATAAACCCTATAAACCCTAAACCCTAAACCCTTAACCCTAAGAAGGGGGCTTGGGGTACAGGGCTGTTGGCCACTCTCAGACATGCTATGAACCCGAGGGACTGGAGTCGTAGCCGAAAGTGCAGAAGACCTGGTCCACCACGCCCGCCTCCTGGGAGGGTTTAGGGTTTAGGGTTCAGGGTTCAGGGTTTAGGGTTTAGGGTTGAGGGCTGTAGGGCTTAGGGTCTTTAGGGTTTAGGGTTTCGAGGCTGTTAGGGCTTAGGGTTTTCGGGTTGAGGGTGTAGGGTTTTGGGTACCAAACCCAAAACACCTTCCAAGACCTAACACAGGTGCAAAGCCCTGAAAACCTCTGAGACAGCCTGTGACCCCAAACCTCTCAAAGGCTGAGGGCATTGAGAGGCGTTTCACGTCGCGGCCCTCTCCTGCGGGTTGAAGGTCTCCTGCGTTGCACCAGCCCAGTCGTAGTCAGGGTTCAGGGACGTCCAGGAGGAAGAAATCCAGATCACCTGTCAGGGCATTAGGGAGTTTCAAAATCGAAAAAGGCGTTCTGGGGGTTCAGGGTTGAAGCCCAGTGGGCTCTCTGAAATGGAGGGCGGAGTCCTGTCGTTTAGGCTTTTAGGGTTTAGCGTTTAGCGTTTAGGGTTTAGGGTTTAGGGTTTAGGGTTTAGGGTTTAGGGTTTAGGGTTTAGGGTTTAGGGTTTAGGGTTTAGGGTTCCCAAACCCTGAACCCGAAACCAAACCCTAAACCGTAAAAACTAAACCTAACCATGGACCTTGCGAGCCCCGCGCTGAAGCAGCGGCAGCAGCCCGGCGTTGTCCAGGGACCCCCCGTCTCCCAGCCTTAGCTCTTGCTCAGGAACTTACAACTCAAACTATCAAGGCGTTTGGGGTTTAGGGGTTAGACTGAGGGACCACCAATACAGAACCCAAATGTTAGGATCCCCTTATAACTTTGGACCAAGAAGGTACCCCTAAAGTCCTACACTCCTATAAGTTACCAGCATAGGGCGCTGCAGTCTGGCACTAGATAACCTCCCAGTGAATTGTAAAACGCAACGCGCAAATTGAAAGCAAATGGAGTGGGAACCCGACCATGGTAGTAAGCCTACCATCATAGTAACTCAATGTCTAAGTTGCTACAGAAGTGTAGAAAACCATGGTAGCCCCACGATGGTGGCAGAACTTTTCAGGTCCTTGCTTACCCTAAACCCTAAACCCTAAGCCCTAAACCATAATGTTAATAGCATGCGCCCAAGCCGCTGGTAGGCGATCGCTGCCTGACGCTTCGGCAGCAACTCCGAGGTGATGGGCCAGTAGTCCTTGCGGATGTTCCCCCTTATACTAACAGTCCTTCATAGGGATTATAATAGGGGGTACTATAATCCCTATTAAGGATTGTTCGTATAAGGGGGAACATCCCAACCAGTAGTCCTTGCGGATGTTCAGCACGTTTCCTTGGTGGGGTTTAGGATTTGGGGTCTCGGGTTCAGGGTGATACGTAGGGTTTAGGGTGCAGGTTTTAAGGTTTAGGTTAAAAGGTTTAGGGTTTAGGGTTTAGGATTTAGGGTTCTTTTTTTGGATTTAGGGTTTAGGGTTTAGGGTTAGTGCCTGTAGAAGGATGATGGTCAAGTCTCCCAACGCGCGGACCTGGTTAAACGCTCCTCCCACTGCCCAGCTGCTGATGCCCACCGCATAGGGCAGGGCGAAGGGACTGGAGGGCTCCTCTTGGTGGCCCAGAAACCATATGGCAATAAGGGTTTAGGTAAGGGAACCTTGAACCAAACAAAAAGAAAGGGAAAAACGGCACCACTCGGCTGCCAGGTCCTTCAAGGGGCACTTCTCGCCTCCGTCCTGGTTGGCGGGCGCCGGGCCCCCAAAGGCAAAGGTCTCGGTGAAGCCTCCGCCCATGGTGCGGGTGAGGGTCCGGAGACCGGAGAGGCCGAAGTCCTTGCCTAGGATGGCCCTTTAAAACCCTCTTAAGAGGACTCCTCAATGTGATCCTCTTATGCCCAATAAGGGGAAAGATGGTCCTCTTAAACCCAAGAAGGGGAAAGATTAAAAATATCCCAGGAGCCTACCTAGTGGCAGGGCAAGATGGGTGCCATGGTGTACTTCACCTCTCGATTGCGGGGGTAGAAGGGGCTGCCGGTGAAGTCCGGACACATCTGGAAGGACACCACGTTCTCCGTGGTGGCTTGGTATTTCAGGGGCGACAAAGTGCAGCCGTTCATGACGAAGGTCTTGGGACGATCGGCTCGGGGCGTGAGGAAGGGCTTCTTCTCCAGCTGAGGATTATCCTCCCTGATGCGCTTCAGGTCCTTCTCTTGGGCCATGTAGGCCTCGAGGCTGCCCAGCCCATCGAAGTGCCGCAGGAGCCACTCCGACATCAGCTTGGGCCACACCTGGGGGCTTACGAAATTCGGGGTACCTTACAGGGTTTAGGGTTTAGGGTTTAGGGTTTAGGGATTAGGGTTTAGGGTTTAGGGTTTAGGGTTTAGGGTTTAGGGTTTAGGGTTTAGGGTTTACCACCTCGTACTCTCGACCCTTGTGCTCAGCCAGCAAAGACTTGAGAATGCCGTTGGAATCGCCACTCACCATGCCTGAGACAAGGGGCACCAAGCCTTCCTTGAGTGCCTCCATGGTCAGCTCCGATGGAACCGTCGCTTTTCCCAACAGCTCCGCAGTTTCAATCGGTTCCCCCTTGAACTCCTTGCCAAACATGAAAATGGATGAGCACCACGTCCCACCCGACACGGAACTTATGGCGTCCAGCTCGGGGATGAGCTCCAACTGGTTCAGCGCGCGGTACACGCCTGTTGTGAAGGACATCGCCCGGGCACCACCCCCAGAAGCACAGAGGCCGAGGTTGATGCCAGAGCCTTCGTGAGCAAAGGGAAAAGGGTTTGGATGGGTTGAGGCTGTAGATGGGTTGAGGGTTTAGGGATACCTCCAAGCTGGGGCCCTCTAAAAAACTACCAGCATGCTCTGCTCATTTTCGCATTTGGCACCAGACTCCTTCTCGCTTTACAAGCTACACGCTACTCGGGCGCCTTCCTGTCTAAACCGCAAGACGCGGTGCTTTCACAACCCCACCTGGCAATTCGACACCTGCGTGCACCGGCAGCACCTTGGCGCGAAGCACGTCGCCCAGCGGCCGGTACTTCTCCCCCTTCGTGCTGGCGCACTGACCCATGGCGCGCCGCGGGGGGACGCTGAGAAAATCCGAGGTAGGGTGGGCTCTGAGCACCCTCTGATGGGGGGGCGTTGCTGCCAAAAGCTACAGAAGGGCCACCGCAAGCTCTCGGCGCATATGACAGCATCTCAACTTTGGGATCTTCCCCTTATACTAACAGCCCCTTAAAAGGGAATTTTGTAGGGGGTGCCATATATATATATATATATATGCTACCCCCCCCTCCCGGGACCTACCTTTTTGAGTGTTGTTGCTTAATTTTTGCAGTGGCAAGACAGTTGATGCAGCATTTGGATAGAGAGTGGGACGATGACAAGCAGATGACCTTTAGTGTCGGCCTCTACCCCCGTAGGTTTGAGTCAGACATTTGGAAAGGCAGCATTTGGATGAAGAGTGGGACGACGACAAGCAGATAACCTTTTTGCATTGCCTTGTACCCCAGCAGGCTTGAGTCAGACAGTCGGAAAGGCAGCGATCGGAAACCAGCACACTCACTCACCTGGGCTGCACGATTTCTCGCATTGCCCAAGTGAAGAGTTTGCCAGTCTCGAGCCAGAGATCTGTGCCCCGCGTCCAGTATGCATACTGGGCGGAGCGAATTTTGTTGCGCATCACGAGGCTACCTGCCCTGGTGTGCTGGTTCAGGGAGATTCTCTCCTTAAGGAACCGCCAGGCTCTATCGATGATTTGAGTACCGGCCTTCGTTCTCAAAGGCTTGATGCGTCCTGGCACGCGGTGTTCCACCACTTTCACGTATGTCGGAGCCTTCCAAACATACTTTCCATTGACCAGCACCCTTTTCTTGGCATGAACAACCCGATCATGTACAACGCGGTCTACCTTGAGTTTATAACTCTTGGCAGAGTCCGTGTGGAAAATCACGGCACGACCCTTTAAATGCTTCTCTGCAAGTGGTCGCCACTCTACACGTCGCACAGCGCCTGGACCGGGTGCCCTCTTGACGGTCTTAGGCGGGTTGAGGCGCTCCAAGATGAGAGTATCCGGTCGACCACGTTGAACCAGCCCCAACCATTGCTCCCATCTGATTGGCTTGGTCTGGTCTCCGTGTTTCTCATTTGTTTTGGTGAACGTGGCCTCGTCCCCCTCGACATCTTGCCAAGAACGGCAGTCGCCCAACTTGATGTCCTTTTGCTTGACCTCCACGAAACGCCTACGAACATCGGCTAACTTGCCCTCGAGGTCTTGGATGGCCTTGTGGTTCACATGCGTTATCTTGTGGATGGATGCTGCCGAAACACCAATAAGTTTGAGGAGTAGCACAGAAGCCTGCGTCTGAAGATCTGTGGAAGCCGGACCACCAGCGTCAACGAAGACGGGATGCAAGTGATGCGGACTCAGGTATCGCTGGCAACCCTTATGGTTGCAGCGATGTTTCCACGTATCCTCCTTTGTGTTGGGCTTGCGGACCAATCCCGAAAGGGTTCCCTTATGGCAGTGTGGACATCGACTCCCTTGCCACTTCGGTAGGATCTTGTCTTTCACCAGCATGTCGATGAGGGACTTGTTGCTGGCCTTGATGATGTCCGGGTAGCTCCGGCACCACTTCGTCTGATCACCACGAAGCCCACGACCTGGGAGAGCTGAAGGATCCTTCACGTATGGAATGGCCTTGTAAGTCTTGGACTTGATGGAAGCAGGCCGTTTCTGCGTGGCACGCAACTTGCCCTTCTTGGCTACGAAGGATGCTCCAGGGCGTTTGGCTACCTTGGGGGCCATGAGCTCACGCGAGTAGTGCGAAGGGCGAAGGATATAGTGCTTGAGCGCAACTGGTTCAAATTGCAGTGCCTTGAAGTATGTTGCGTAAAAGCACACGATTTACAGAATCAGAACAGCATCACAGTCACACATGCGAGCAGCACCGCACTCACACATGCATCGCACATTTTTCGCTTGACATTTCAGTCGCTTGTGAGTTGATAATGTTTCTGCGTTGCAGGAGCGGTTCACACCGTGGTCACTGGTCCGAGGCCACATGTTGAGTGTACATCCTGTTGAGGTCATAAATCACGAGTGTAGGGTATGGGCTGCGTCCTCCTCTCCGGAGAAGGAGTCAGTGGCTTTGTCAGGCTGCGGAACTGATGATTGTGCTGCCTCTTCCTCAGGCTGGGGAACCGACGATTGTGCTGCAGCATTGCAGGACTTCATCCTTACCCGGCGGGTCGGAGTTGGATAAACAAAATCTCCAAGGCGTCTGCGAGGAGTACCCGGAGGCGGGGCTGCATGTGGCACCACAGGGCCTGTGTGCTTTGGAGCAGCATCTTCATCTGAAGACTGCGAGGAAGGTAGCCATGTCGTGTTGGTTTCCCGGCTGATGTCCTGAAGCTTGTCGGCGATTTTCGTGTTGATGCTCTTGATGTAAGTGCTTGGGCGTCCTGCGTGTGCGAGGTCAGCCAGACCATGAAGGATGAGGGCCTGTTCGCATTTGACATCCTCCTCAAAGGTTGGGGGGAGCTCCTCGACGCCAATCTTGTATTTGGCATAAAACTCCTTGTCCCTTTCGCAGAAGAGGTCGGCATGGAGCTGGCTCACGAGTATGCGATGAACTGGGGCACCCAAGTCCTGGTCAGGGAGTCGCAGGTAGACGGCATGTTTCCCGAAGACGAAGACGATGGAACGTTTCAAGATGGCCAGAACATCAGCTTCCTTGTATGCCTGAAAGAGCTTGCGTGTGAGCTTCATGAACTCAGCAGCAGTGATCGAGGTGCTCAGTCTATCAGGCGGAGGCTCATCCGATTCCTCAAGATCATTCGAAGCCAACGCCCTGAGACCATTCCGGGCCAATTTCACATCGTTGTAACGCCCCGTGCAATTTTGGTCTTCCTCCGAAGTGAGCCAAGATTTCAAGTCGGACGCCTCGATCTTTTCGATGGTGGGGTCGTCCAAGATTATGCCTTCATGTGACTGGCCACACTTGTGCCTGAAGTTGTCCATAGCTTTGGCTCGTCTCCAACCAGGACGAATGTGAGCATGTCCATTCTTGTTGATGTGGTAGCGACCGAGTGCGAGACTGAGGACGATGAGAAATGGGGTCTTGCCCACGCCCGGCCAACCCACAGTGATGATGCCGTAGGAGAGCATCAAGGGGAACACCATGGGCAGCAGAAACGCGTGCATGAACGGCTTCAAGCTCATGGTTGTGAAGGGGAAGAATCGAGATGAAGATGCTCCTCCTGCTGCCCGGGATTTGTTTTGGGCCATGAGTTTGACCTCAGACTTGGGCCACCCCGCGATAGGAGTGCCACTGTCCGGACGTATTTGTCTCAGGATCCACACGTATTGTTGGTTCTCATCATCTTGGTCAGGAGCCTTTTTGTTGATGTACTCCACTCCTGCCAAGAGTTCCTCATCTTCAGGGCACCATTGCTGCTGAGAAGACGAGGACCTCTGGATGCCTTGTCCACCCTGTGCCTGAGAGAGACGCCACCAGACGACATGATGCCCCGGAAGCATGTCCATGAGGTAATGGACGGCCTTTACCCAAGTCCATGGTCCCTGTCTAAAGGCGGGCACTACAGCAGAGCCAGTGCAGTACGCGCGAGCCTGCTTTGTTGGCACCTTCCCGGTAAAGGACATGACGCGAAGAATGTCGAGAACCCCGTCCTCCGAGTTGTTGATGATGTACGAAACTGTGGTTCCCGAGGGCATGGCCTCAGCAGGCTGCAGATGAGGAGGAAGAACAGAGTAATCTTGATCTTGGAGTCGCTCGCATAGTGCTGAGATAATGCCTAACTCAGGGATGTTGTAGTGGGCATCGAGGACGAGGGTGCATGATTTGGCATGGTCTACCGGACGACACGCGTGCTTGACAAAGTCCTTGAGGGCAAATTCAGAGTCTCTTTTGACCTCGTACACAGGGGTGGATGTTGTGGCCAGAGAGCAACTTTTCGCACCACATTTCGCCATTGCTTCATCTAGCATTCGTTCGAGGTTCGCCATGGGGGTGGGGAACAGATCAGCTCGTATGGTTTCTGTTGAGACAAAGAGCAGGCTGCAAGCACACGTCTAGGAGCAGATGTGTGAGGGAACATGACACTGCTTATGTTGCAAAGTCGGCCATCCTTTTACTCAACATGAAGCACACGTCTAGGGGCAGATGTGTGAGGGAACATGACACTGCTTATGTTGCAAAGTCGGCCATCCTTTTACTCGACATGAAGCTGGCTCTCTCTACAGGCATACCTAGTGGAAAGAAACGTCGTTCTCAAAGGCTTGATGCGTCCTGGCACCCGGTGTTCCACCACTTTCACGTATGTCGGAACTAGGGAAGGTTTTTCTGGAGCTCCTCGAGTTTCTGACGAAGTTGTGCGTTCTCGTACTCATACTCCTGGATGTCGCTCTCCAGGATGAAGATGCGAGTCTCGTGCTTTTCAACTTGCTGCTCAAGGGTGGCGACAGTTGCTTCAAGGTCCTGCTTGTTCGCCTCCAACTCTAGAAACTGGGGGTGTTCCACCAGGAAGCAATCCAAGATGTCCGTCGCAATCTCTGGGGTAAGCTTTGACTTTGTCGACTTTGATGACGACGGTGACGAGGCTACCTTCTCGGTTTTCTTCTGGCGCTTGGTTGACTTCTTAGAAGAAGACTGCGACGAGCTTGCCGACTCCGAACTGGAAGAACTTGAAGATGAGCTCGAGACGGGACTCCTGGGTGTGGTTGTGTTTGGTGCGATTTCGAGATGATGGTTGTAGTTGGGGGATATTGACAGGGTTTTTTGATCTTACGTAGCCTACAGCCCTCATATATTCAAAAGTATGACTATTGAAACAAGAAGCGACTTGCGTCCATTTTTCTCTTTGGGAAGCACGTTCTCTGAGGAGGGGCCATCATCCACATGTCCATCGCAAAGTGCTTGTGCCGGGGAGCTGTGCTTGCTGCGAGCACGCTTGGGAACACGAAGAACTTGTTCCAATTTTTCTGTTGCCATCTGTGGCCATGGACCGACAAGTCCGACAGGTGATAGACTCAACTGCCGCTGTATGTTG